TTGTAGTTATAAGTTCTGCTTCCGCTCCTCATGTCTTATCTCTTTCATTATTTCATTTTTAGTCTATGCAGCGCCTCCACAGTTAGTGTTTAAGTTGCTCTTGGTTTTAGCGGTAGCAATTAGCCACAATCTCTGTCTGTCTCCTTACATAACTGAGTGAAAAATTTGCTACAGTACACTTGCAATTAAAGGTCCTATATTACGCAAAATGTTCTCTTTACTTTAAACCACATTTGAATGTTGTTACCTCATCAAAACACATCTGGAGTTGTGTTTTGTTTCATTCACACATGTTTGAATAACCCTTTATTCATTCTACATCTCCAAAGCTCAAAATGCTCCACCTTGTGATGCCGATTTTAAATTTGATACTTTTTACTTTTACGTCACTACATTTGAGAGAAACTGTAGGTATAAAAGTAAAAGTATTTTTATTATTGTGTGCAATCTGCTGAAAACCATGAGGATTTATTTTTAACGTTTGTAGGAAAAAACTACTGATTCAGTTGTTTCCTTTGAAAAATTCAGCATAAATCTGTATCAGAATCAATTACAAGATCTTACAAGACATCAACATCTGCTCTAAATACTTTTACTTTTTACCCTTTAAATAAATTTTTAACCTAGTACTTTAATGCTTTTACTCAAGTTGATATTTTTAAGTAATACTTTAACTTTTACTTGAATATTTTTTTTGCTCCAGTATCTGTACTTTTACTTAAGTAACAAAATTGAGTACTTCTTTCACCACTGCACTGGACACACTTGACCTCAGAGAAAGGGTCAGCGCTCACTTTCATTTGGGTGTAAAGATCTGAAGGGGTGGCACCGTCCATCCATCCCGATATGTCCGGGTTTAGGCTAATCCCAGTGTTTTTGGATTTACCCTCCTCTCTACTGACAGCACGATTCTTATGTGAGAATAGAGCAGCTCCTTTGCATATCAATACTGTTTAGGCCTGAATGCCTCTAGTCAGATGGTGAATGAACGCGGGGTTGCTATCTGAGGAGCTCTCCAGTGCAGAACCAAGCATAAAGAGAGGTCCACAACAGAGGGAAACCCGACCACATAGCTGGCTGCTCACCCCTACGCACTCCTCAACCGTGAATGGGCTAGTGTGACCTGAGGTATTCTATGACACGCTATAGCCAAGATATAGTGGAAAATAAGACTACTAGATTAGATTGGCAAATTAGATTAAATAATGAAAGGGTTATTACTCAACTTTGTTTGGACTACTTTATAATTAGTCATATGGAACACATTTATTTACAGTGATGGAATTAGCAAGGATTAAATCAGCAAATACATCCATTGAAAATACAGTCAGACACAATTGGTTGCTTTGTGTAGGATAAAATATTGCTTTATTGTAATATTTTGTACTTCACAGTATTACGTATTTGATTAGGGTCGGAGTACAAAAAATACAATAGTGGCCTATGTTTATTTTTATAGTTTGTATTAACCTGATAACATACATAGATCACCATTTTACCTTTTATTGTTTTGAAAATGTTATATTCACTGAAAACAATGTATTAACATGTTTTATAAGTTTGATTTTTGTTTTTGTTTCCTTAAATCACTCTTGCTTCAGAATCCTATCACAATACAATCAGTATGCATCCTGCTAATTAAACCACTGCACATAGCATCAGGTTTGGCAAGTTGTTGTGTACCGTTTTGTATAATCCATCCATCCATTTTCGTCCGCTTATCCGGGGCCGGGTCGCGGGGGGAGCAGCCTAAGCAGGGACTCCCAGACTTCCTTCACCGACGTTTTGTATAATTTTTTTTTTATTTAATTTTTTTATTTATAGAGAATTTGGAGCATGGATGATGTATGCTTATGGGCGAAGCACTGAACAGAATCTTACAGTTAACCATAAGGAGGGTTCGAACAGAGCCCAGGAGAGATTGCAGAATTACTGAAACATGCATGGATGACATCTAAAACCTCTTCAGGCTTGTTTTTGATGAGGGAACGTTACAATGTCGTAAAATGTGGCTAATATATATATATATATACATTCACTTTTTTGCATAATACCCCCCTTTAAGTTGATGCTTGCAAACACTAGATTGTAATTAGTTTTAAATTTCAAAAGGTAAAGCAATCTGAAATGTTTTTTTAATTCTTTACATTATTTCTATATGTTTTTTTTTTTTACATACAACCATATCATTATAGTCTGTGGTTTTATGCTCACAAACATCAACAATGTCTTCTAAATTGTACAGAGGACATAAATACTGAACGTTTGTTATAGAAAAATGAAAAAAAAAAAAAAAAAGCCAAGGGCACTTCTGGCTTAAATAAAAAGTAACTACCACAATGTCTCTCTTACATAACGCCATAAACATAAAGACTGGAACCACATCTCCACGCTAACTGCACCAACCTTGGCAAGATTAAACCCAGGCCTTATGCACCCCCTGTGTATTTGAGCCATGGATTGATCACAAAAGTACCGAAAATATGTCCAGAGTTAAATAATATTTTACAAATGTATGATAGCGACCCGTGCCCGACCCCTTGGGCTAAATCAAAGTGACAGCAGGACATGGTACACATAAGCACATATCCCCAGTGCCTATAAACTAAACAGGCACTTATTGATCCAGGCTGCTCCCTCCAGGCCAGATCCTAGAGAGGTGCAGATGTAATATTAATACATAGGAGGTGGGGGTTGTTGTTTAGGTCTGTGTGTGTGCATGTGTGTGCATGTGTGTGCATGTGTGTGCGTGTGTGTGGGCAGATATTCGTTACACTGTGGGGACTAAAATCGGTACACACACTAACATCAAGGAGAACCTGCCTTTACTATATGGACAAAAATCAATTCCCCACAACGTAAATCTTTTGTTATTCTATCACAACTATGATATAAAATTAAAGACGCTATACTTAAAATGTAAAAAAAACAAACTAGTTTCATTTAATGGTTTGCAAGTTATTCACGACTTACCTCATGCATTCCGAGCGTCTTATTTATTCACCACGATGAGTTCATGAGATGAGATCAGAGATTCGCCATTGTCCTAACAACATCTAGCAAGCTAACAGCGCACTTCCAAATGTAGACAGCAACACAGTGGTCTCATTTCTATCTTCAGAGTTGCCTCTACAAATATATCTACACAGAAAAAAATCTTACAGTTTCTTTAAGATATTGGTTAAAAATAAAATGCAAGGTTAGGGTTTAGGTTAGGGTTTAGCAAGTGGCAACTGTAACGGTTCAGATCCATCTTCAGGAAATGAATGCAAGTCAATGTCATGTCCCTAGGAAGCATAAATACCCGGCGTGTGCGTGCGTGTGTGTATCTGGGGGCTATACAAGGGACGGTGAGGCAGAGTCTATTAAATGCGCCACTGCGGGACTGGTCAGCAGTTTATGTGGTGTCCAGGCTCACAGGTCAAGGGGCAGGGGAGGGGTCAAAGCTCACCATCCTCAAAAGGTCTCCAATCAGCCAGTACAATTGATTGCTTACACATCAGGAAAAAGGCAGGGTGCTGTGTTAACTTTGAATTCAGCAAGTACATGTGTTGGAGAGACCTATGACCTGAAATGTCCTGAGGATTTTTTGTAAACAACAACATTTGGCAGAATTAGCACTTTTTTTTTTTTTTACTACTATTTGAACTATTATAACAGCTCTGTATTGACCTGTTGCATGATGTCTTTGTGGCAGTTAGAGCTCTCGTCCAATAGTGATGTCAAAAGTATGTAAAAATAAGATACTAATTGATACTAAAACTAGTACCGAAACTAGACTGATTTGAACAGGTATTGATACTAGACACTAGCCTGATTCATCAGCCAGTTTCACTTCGTAGAAACCATATGACCTCGCAGTGTTACAATTCATTCGCTTAGGGGCTAAATAGTATATTAAGCTTTTCCCAAATCCCGTAGGAAGAAGGGCAATAATGTCTTTCCCTTGATGAAATTCACCAAACATCTCTTCATTCTGGCTTTAAATCCTTGATCTCGGGAATCGTTGACTGACTGACACTGAATATATGGCTCTTTGCTGATTGGCTGGTGCCCGAACTTGCACATTTGGTGTTTTTGCAAACTGTCTATTGTATTTTGATTCCCGACCTAGTTGCTGGAGAGAAATGAAATTGAGTGGAGGCACTGGGTGGCGCAAGCCTGGCTAACTAGACACATTCATAGGATTTCCTGAATGATTTTGAGATCTATCGGAACATGTATGTGGCCTAGTATACGCCCATGGACCGCTATGGAACCTACTTAGGCAAGCCACTTCACCTACCTACCTTGTCTTTTAATGCATTGTCCCTTTAATAAATAATAACAAATACTTTGCCTAGTAAAAAAGTTGAGTGTGCGTGAGTGTTGGTGGTGGTCAGAGGGGCTGATGGCACAGTGCTGATGTTCACTTAGTGCATATTATTTGTGGAAGGTTGTTTTATACAGTTAAAATACACACATTCTTGCTGTCAATTTTAAACAATTCATTTGTGTTATTGTCCTTGCCATTTAAGGATTTTAGGATTTAAGGCTGGACTAGCTTTCAGAAGGTCAAAACTCCACAAAATACTAGCCTGATCTTGTAATAATAAACAACAATTGTACTACTGTTTATTCTTGCTTTCTGTTTGTTCTTATTACACAAATTAATATCTTTGGCTCTATCCCGCAATACTAATGAGGCTTTCTTCTATTTGAGTGGAATTCTGTCATTATGTACTTATAATCAAAATCTCTATGAACTCAGCCAAAGTAATGAACTAATCGTATTTGATTTAAATTGAGTCTCCAGTAGTTCCCCTTGAAACGAAAACAAAAAGGTCCCCCAGATGGTCTCTATATTCTCTTAACAAGAATAAGATGAAACATTTGTCTTCAGATGAAAAATGGATGGTCTGGTGAAAATCTCATGCCAAGCTCAAATCAACACAAGACACGCACGAATAATAACAATTCTTTTTACTTAGAATCTCCAAGTCTCATATACAAAAGTGTCTCAACAATAGCCTGTCTTTTCTTATAAATTAAAACTTTAGAAATGTACATATGCATTTACAGTCAGCTGTTTGGCGCGACGAAGGCAATAGTCACAGATAAAGTGGTCTGAAAAAATAGTTTTGATTTGAGCATCATAAAACAGTCTATAACAGAACATGTGAACTTGTTTTTCACACTTCAACAAGTCAAAGAAATATGTATCAAAAATAATGATGGTCTGCAGCTTGTAATGTTTTATTATTTGTGTAACCTTTGGTATTCTTTACAAAAAAAAAAAAAAAACATTAAAAAACTGTCCGTAGAAATCCTCACTTTGATGTAAACAAGGTAGCAGAGCATTTAGGACTTTATTGTTACAGTTCATGTTTTGAATAATTGTGTGTGGTATAGAATATTAATGTGAGAAAAGTATATATTTTACTGGTGTACTTTATATGTGTATTTTACTTATATTTTACATTCTCTTGGGTCTCTGGACTACAGCTCAATTAAAGGTGCACTATGTACATTTTCTGTTGAGATGGTCCGCTACCTATAGTTATTGCTTTGCCTGGTATCCTTGTTATCTTAGCCTGCGTCGTAAGAGGTATAATACTCCCTACAATGGAAGCATAGCCAGACTGGACTGTACTAGACTAGAATAGACAGTATTATCAATGTTTTGCTGTTTTTCAATGTTTTTTGAGCAAAAATACCGGTAATTGAATCAATGCAACCAATCACATCTTTAAGGAGACAAGTGTACCAGAAAAGTTACATAATGCACCTTTAATACCCATATTGTCCAATTTCTGGTAACCACCACACATAACTATTTCATCCATGATCATCTTATCTTCAAACGCTGTATTCTGTGTAGGCTTTGGTAATTTCACTTGTACTGCTATTTGGTTTTCGAAGAACATCACAGTCTATATTCGAACAGCTTATAGTGAGCACCTCTTAGTCCCAACCAAAGTCCTGCCCGGTCATTTGGTAGAACTTGAGATTGAAGGGCCTGTAGAACTCCCTGAGCCTCAGCAGGACCTCGGCCGGGATCTGGGGGTGGGGCCTGCCCTTGGACTTCCCCAGGCACCGCGGCCGGCTGCTCCCCTCTGGCTTCTTCAGGCAGGGGAATCCTTTGGTCTGGTTGAAATAGAAGTGTTTGTCCGTCACCACGCGCTTAAGTCCCAGAAAATCCTGAACGCGCCCCATTTCTCCCGCCGGATCCGTCACCAACCTCTCCCCGCTCACAAACAGGAACCTGGATGGTGGAAAGTAACGCAGCCAGTTCTCGAGATGCTTGGCGTATATACCGATCCGAACCGCGCTCCATGACGTGTCTATGAGGCCCGTGGTGGAGTTGCGGAAGGCCAGGTTTTGGAAAGAAGGAAGCCCGGGGGATTTGGTGAGGGTCTGGGTGTAATCGGACACGGCGCGCGTCACGGGGTCCCGGACCACGACGATGAGCTTGGTTTGGCGGTCCATGGAGAAGACGCGGCGAGGGGCTTCTTTGGTGATGAAGTAGCTGGGAGTCTTCTCCATGGTGATTTGACCCTCTAGCGTACGGGGCATCAGGTTTCTGAATGAGACAGAGAGAGAAATCTGTTAATATGTATGCCAAATGTTATTTTAAAAAATATCTAATGGTTGTTATGTAGTATTCTTCTTGTGGTTTTCTGTTCATTTTGAGTCAGCTGTTTTCCTAGTTTTATCCTACGCTGATTAGGAATAAATTGAAGGCATCTTGATTTTAGTCTTGATGTAGACAGGATTTAGTCCAACTAAAATGCTGCCAGATCTTGGTTAAAAGCCCTTGTTTGAGGTTGATATAGAGCTGGTTTAGTCTGTTTTCTGTTTTCAAGATGGACATATTTATACATATATTTATATATATGTTGATATCAGCAAAATCTACCCAATATGATTTCTTTAAGCTTGTAATAATATTATATTATAACATAGACAACATAAACATTTCACAAAATATCAGGCCATGAAGAGCAAGTAGTAGCTTTACAATCATGATAAAAATAAAAAAAAAGTACAACAAAACTCCTTTTCCAACTGTGGGCATTGCCATAGATTAAAACATTAAGTGATTGGTAAATAAATATTGGATCTTGGTAACAGCTGAAATATCTCACCATCCCTAGTGTAAGTATTTTGCAATCATAGCTTTTGAGTAGGGATGTAACAATAACTGAAATGTCATGATATCGTATCATCAAAGTTCTCACAGTAATATTGTGGACCATCACAATATATCGAATTACAAGTCTCTTTGCTTAAATTAAGAGTTATGGTGCAGCAATAGCTAAACAAAGACAGAGGGAACTGCATAGACCATGATCCTTTGCTCCATTTCAGTGCAGACTACAAGAAGAAATAACAGTTCTAAGCACTTTTAAGTCTTAGTTCTTTGGATTAAGTCTTGTCAAGGCATTTTAAGAGGGAAATAGTAAGTATTTTTGTTTGCCTGCACAAAATATCGCAATAAATATCGTACCATGAGGTTCATAGCATTACGATATCATATGGTGAGACTTGGATATCGATACACCCCTACTTTTGAGAGGGTACTGTGGTGTGAAAAGTTTGACAACATCCACTGTATATGATTAAAAAAATCTCTTGATATACCCCGAACTTTAACTTTGCTTTGATGGTTCCTCACTGCCTGGAGCTTTTAGATTTCCCTTTGTAATTAGCGGGTAAGATCTGTGATTAGGGGGAGATAAACATGACTTTGGCTGCAGGCTGCGATGGGGTGCATGTGTACGCTTTTACTGTAGGAAAACCACATCTCTGTATCAACCAAGTTCATTTCCTCTCATCTCTGTTTCTTGTATAGGAGCAGACTCTTCCTCCCCTGTGCACAATGCTTAGGAGTCCCAGCGGACCCAAACCTCAGCCACATAACTGTCATACCTCCGTGCTAGAGCTACTGCTGCAGGCCTGGAAAAGTTACTGTCGCCGCTAGCACTTTTGGTTAGCTTTTTTGTTTTCCATTTTCAGTTGTCAAAGCCTCGAAGATCTCAGGAAATTATTGTCAAGCCAAGTTTAGATGTCTTTGGATATTTCTTCAAAACTGCAAAACTGCTACAAATATCTTTGCTTTACAAATCTCTAAACTGTAAAAAATTAGTTAAGGAACAAGTTGATTTAAGTCTGTACTCTATTCTATTTGTCATTCTGGCATTTTTATTTTTTTTTTGCAACATCTTCTAAGCAAAATTTAAAAAGGGCTATTACACTTCTCTCAGGTATTGCAACACATAAAGTATTTAGATCACCATATCGCCTTTTATTGTTTTTTAAAATACTATCCTGAAAATGTGCACCAAGTTTCAGGTTTGTTTCAGGGCAGTCTCTTCCCTTTTCTCTCCACGCTAATTCACTCTCACAGAGCGCTATCACAACACAATCAGCGTGCATCTTGTTAATGAAACTACTGCACATAGCATCAAGTTTGTGAAGTTGTAGTGTATTGTTTTGTCATGCTTTTGTATGTTTTTGGAAAATTTACACGTGTGAGCGAGGATGACAGCTTGTGGGCTGAGAGTATTGGACAGAATCATACTGCTAACTGTAAACAGAGTTCAAATAGTGCCAGGGAGAGATCGCTAGATTACTCAAACATGCATGGATGGCATCATAGTACCTTTTCAGGCATGTTTTTGATGAGGGAACAACATTATGACATGGTTAAAAGTTCCAAAAAGTTGGTTCTGCATAATATCCTCTCTTTAACAAAGACATAAAAACGCTTATTTGAGTTAATAATCATATGCAAAACAAAAAATATTTGGAAGACATTGAAAGAAACTGCAAACAAGTGAAATACAAATGGACTATTTTAGCTGTGTCTATCTGAATGAGTCATTACACATATAAATTAATAGTTCCAAAAAACTATAAAACATATCTGGAGATTTGACAGTTTAAGTCTTATTATAAATGACAAATAACAGTAGAAGTAGCAGAAGTATGGGCCCAGAGTTGCTCCACAATCCCACTTGTTGCCTTTGGCCATCTGTATGTTATTATCATCAGTAATTTCACTACACTTAAAGGACTCACTGCTGTCTTCCGCTCGATCCTTACCCCTACTTAGATGACTCAGTCGACGCAGCAGTGAAGACATAGTACCTACTGAAAAAAGTTCAACCGAATCCCATCAAAGCGTAGGATTTTAAATGGGAATCCTTATACGCTGCCAAAAGTGGATTGTATATGTAAAGTGGTCAGACTGAAAGAAAGGAAAACCAATTTGTGTATTTTGTCAGATTTAGTACTGATTATTCATATCAAATGCTACTGCAATTCCAGATTTAACAAGACAATTGAAACAAGTGGCTAATTTTTGTTAAGAGAAAGTGTAGAGGCATATTTTGTTTACTAGATCTTCGTGGTTGGTCCCTAAGTGCAGGGCTTGCATAGCAGGGAGCTTTGCGTGTAGCCGACTGTTTCTCTCTGTGCGATCCAACATACACATAGTTCATCCTGTCCCTTGGCACCAAGCTACGAGGCTAACAAAACTCCTGGTATTCATAAGAAACCTCTCCGTTGTATTAGAGGGTAGGGACAAAGCAAAATTGAAAGAATTACAGCTTCGATCCCCCTGGGAGGGAGAACGTTCCGAAAAACAATACTGCTTCTATGGCTCGTATTAGCTTTGGGGCATGTCACAATGAGCACTTGAGGTCAGTGAACAAGTTACGAGTGATTACACTGGAGCCAAGATACAAAATGTGTGGCCGCAACATGACGTGATTGGCAATAAAGTGTCTCAAAACAGTCTATTTGAAGTTTAAAAGTTTTTGAAGTAACTGTACTACCAATAGAAGACAATTTAATAGTTATTTCATGCCAAATTGCAAGTTTTGGCGTATCCGTTTCTTCACGATGTTACAATTTTTTTCCGAAATTTTGCAGAATGACTTTTGAGCAACCCACGCTGCAAAAATGCCTTGGCAATGGAGTGAGTATTTCCAAGGGAGAAAGAATAAAAAGTTACATCCTTTAATCTGCATATTTTTGGCAGGAGAGCATTATGGACCATTAATATTGCTGTTGGTGAAGCCTGCTCCATTAGCAATGACGTTTCCCTGGATGACTTCGAAACACTGAAGCAAAACAGTGGCTCACACCGTCTATGTGGGCAGAAATATCGTAGGCCTATAACGTATTTTATAAAGGAATATTATTGTAAATGTAGCTATGTATAACGTTAGCTATCCACAGCAATCATTAAAGGGCCCATATTACGCTATTTTCTGATTTATGTTATAATGTAATATTGTTTCCTTTTCAAAACTTACCTGGAAGTTTGTTTTGTTTTATTCACACGTTTAACACACAAGCCCTAGAGTTCTCGTTTCAAACAGAAAACACTGTTCCACCTTGTGATGTCATGTAATAATACAGGAAGTGCTCCACTGTGTTTTAAAACTCCACACATGTTCACCGCAATCATTTAGACACTTTCAACCCTGGAATTATCAAGCCCTACTAAAGAAAAGGTAAAAGTTAGCTGTTAACAAGGTGGAACAAAGCATTTTGAGCTTTGGCGATATAGACAGACTAATAATAAAGAATTACTGTGTTATGTAGGACCTTTTCAGTGTTCAGATAATGTTAATGTAAATGGAAGCTGCAGAGTTGTGTGTTGCTTTCATAAACATCCACAGCTTAATTTAAAAAAAAAAACAAAAAAAAACATAAATTATTTTAAATTAATTAGGGATATAGATCTACACCATGAAGAACTCAAGAAAAAGAAAAAAATGGCCGCCAGAATTACCTACGCTATGAATGAGGCAGGCTAGTTATTTTTCTCACACCTTTACTGTTAGCATGTGGCACAGGAATGCTAACAGATGTGCATTTATCTGCTCGTAGACTACATGTGTCCAGGCCCACCAAAGTCCTCATTTAGCTGTGCTCAGACTGGGTGGCCTAGGGTTTATTAGGGTCTGGTAAAAGGGGTGACGTGCTAATAGGCTACTGTTGAGACTCCAGTACCGGGACATAAATACTAACCTACTACTATGACAACCTTTGCTGTAAACGTACAAAGATTTTTTACCTTTGTACTTTTACAGCAAAGGCCGTCATAATATTTTTGCTATTTTGTCTGTGTATTAGTATTTTATCTACACAGAAACTGTCCTATATTTTTTATTTACAGGTCCTGTACCCAATTATTTCTCATGCATTTGACCAAAATATGATTTGCCCCATTACAGATATATTGTATCTGTTGAGGTCAAAATGTTAAAGTCAGGTGTGTGGTTTCTGCATATAATTATAAAATATTTTATTCTCAACTAATCAGAAAGTGTGTGTTAGCATGCTAAAGCTGTAACTAATTAGGATGTTCACAAGAATGCATGAGGAAGTGAGGAATAACTTTGGACTACTGCAAAAACTAGTTCTGTTTTTCATGTTTTTAAGATGGTAAAATCAATTACAGCACTTTTAATTCTGGTAAATTTTTCATTTGTTATGTGTTATGTTATGTAAATACGATCTTATTCGTAAATATAATACTTAGCTTTAGAACTACAACAGTTAATG